TATATATACATAAATATATATATATATATATATACATAAATATATATATATATATATATATACATAAATATATATATATATATATATATACATAAATATATATATATATACGTATATATACATAATATATATATATATATATATATATATATATTATGTATATATATATATATAATATATATATTTATGTATATATATATATATATATATATATATTATGTAATATATATATATATATATATTTATGTATATATATATATATATATATTTATGTATATATATATATATATACATATAATATTTATGTATATATATATATATATATATATATTTATGTATATATATATATATATATATATATATATACATAATATATATATATATATACATAAATATATATATATATATATATATATATATATATATATATATATGACACAAACACAGTAACGTGAACACACAAATGAAAGGAAAACTGCCACAGTAAGAAACGAAATTGAAATGTAACGTTTCGAACGCTTCACGAGTTCCTCTTCAGACAACTGAAAAACCAAAAGTGGATAGAAGGAGAGAATTTTAAGAAGAATATATAGTGATCGAGAGACAGACCAAGCAAGAGGAGAATCAGGTCTCAGGAGGAGGGTCAAGGTCTAGGAAAGGCTCTGCTAACAAGCGAAGCGGTAAGGTCATCCAAGCCCCATTGTCCAGCACTCAAGTTAAAGTTAGGCATTTTTCTAATTAATAAAGATTCCAACATTTTCTTTCCATATGAATCAGCTGATTTGTGAATCAATTTAGCATTTTTCCAGTTAAGCTGGTGACCTTCGTCCCGTAAATGGACGAAACACGCATTTGAATCTCTAGCATATCTAACATCGCGTTTATGTTCATTAATTCTTTTCTCGAAAGCTCTACCGATCTCACCTATATAAAACTTGGGGCAATCCTTACAGGGTATAGTATAAATACCGGGAAAAGTCTCAAGAGCACCGCTCGTCGCATTGTGCTTAACTAAAGTAGTGCGCAACGTGTTTGGATACGTAAACACAATGTCAATACCAACGCCTTTAAACATGTGACGTTTCTCATCTAAGGACGGGTTATACGGAATGATTAATAAATTCTTGTCATTATCCTGTTGAGTGTTACGGGACTGAGAATAAAATTTCCATCTCGCAGATGAATGAGCCTGATCTAAGAAAAAACGAGGATAACCTAATTTCGAAAACGATTCAAATATGACGTTAATTTCTCGATCGATAAATTCGGTATCACAAATTCTATATGCCCTTAAAAACATGGACGAGACTACTGACTTTTTAACATACAACGGGTGATTCGAGAAAAAATGAAGATAATTAGCAGTATGTGTAAGTTTACGGTAAACCGAAAATTTAAGTGAGCCATTTACGTTGAATAAAAGGACGTCGAGAAAAGGCAATTTACCTGAATCCTCCCATTCTACTTTGAAATTAATAGTATGCGCGAGGTTGTTGAGTTTACCGAAAAAATCATCGAAGTCTGACCGGTTCACTTGCCATAGTGAAAAAATATCATCAACATAACGAAACCAAATCGTGTCGAGAGGGAGGATAGACGGAAGGAGTTCAGATTCGAACATCTCCATATATAAATTCGCAAGGACCGGGCTTAAGCTACTTCCCATCGCGATACCATTGATTTGTTTATAAAATTCGCCGTTAAAAATAAAGACATTGTTCGTGACACACAAACGGATGAGCTCGACAAAGCAATTGACCGGAATAGGGATCTTCTCATGAGATGAAGAAAGTTTTCTTTCAAGGAAATCTAAAACATCGTCAGGCGGGACATTAGTGAATAGGGAATCAACGTCAAAACTCACTAATTTCTCATCGTGCGTCGGCAAATTTCTAACTTTATCCATGAAATCCATAAAATGTTTATATGACTATCAGAGAATGATCCCATAAAAGGTGATAGAACGCTTGCTAGCCAAGAGTCTAAAGGACGAGTAACCGAGTTACAAGACGAAATAATAGGCCTTAGAGGGACGCCCTGTTTGTGAGTTTTGGGAAGGCCATAAAATACGGAATAGAGGGATTAACCGTTCTGAAGCGATCAAAAAATTTAGGGTCAGGACATTTGGCAGCAATACGCTTGAGGTTTTTACGAAACGATTCCGTGACTGATGGGTAAGGATTAGAGCGCAGTTTCTGATACGTTAAGTTGTCGTTCAGGAGGGAATGAACTTTGTCTATATAATCAGATTTATTAAGGATAACTACTTTATTACCTTTGTCAGCTTTAGTAATTATAATGTTCAAATTGCGTTTAAGTGATTTAGTAGCCAAGAAATAACGACGTGCTGGACAATGGGGCTTGGATGACCTTACCGCTTCGCTTGTTAGCAGAGCCTTTCCTAGACTCTTCGACCTTGACCCTCCTCCTGAGACCTGATTCTCCTCTTGCTCGGTCTGTCTCTCGATCACTATATATTCTTCTTAAAATTCTCTCCTAT